CTGATTTCTGATTTGCTGCAAAAGAGAGCAAGAAAGGGGCATGGCAAAGTATTTTCACATATGTATGCACACCTCGATCCTCGTGCCACCAATCACGCATCTCGATGCACGATGGCAGAGGAGCCGAATTGCACGACTCGATGTGAAATGAATGCACGTATAAACACAACACGGCCTAGACTCCATCATGGTTAATTCGGAGCGTCGGCGACCGGAATTGAGACACATTTCGTCACCTGGAGTACAGAACGTCCCTCGTTTCCCGTGCTTGGGTTAACTCCTATACCAAACACAATACAAATGAGATGGCATACACAATGCGACTAACATGTAACCTAGCATACACAATGTTGTGGACTGAAAATGGCATACACAATGCACGTGATGTAACATGGCATACACAATGCTCTAACATACAACCTAACATACGCAATGCTGTGGACTGAAATGGCATACATAATGCACAATGGACTTACGCCAACATGAGCGGACCTCAGCCACACTCACATCAGTGGCCATATGATGGAAATGAGACAACCGAAACACATGCAAAAATGCACGATGCAAGGGATCGATTGTAAGGCATCAAATGCCACTCTACCAAAGCATGGAAAAGGATGCAATGTGGCATACAAACACACAAATCCCAGCTCTGAAACATGATACAAAATGGTTCCGAAACATGCAAACATGGCACACAATGCAAGCTAGGGGGCCCAGGTACCGAAACTTGTGAAGTGCGTTACACTAGAGGTACCCAAAGCAATGCACCAAAGGCAAAACCAACCCCAAACAAACCCTAGACAGGTCTGAAACAGTGGGAAAATGGCCTAAAATGATGGCTCGGAATGCAACGAAATGGAGTTCATTCAATGGTCCGAAAACAAGGCATACAAGTCCGACTCTCAAACACATTTAAAGAGTACAAAACATGGCAATATGGCATTCAAACAAGCTCTGAAATATGATGTATAATGGATCCAAAACATGAACACACCTCAGTATATGCATGAAATGAGCCTCAAAACTCAAAGTTAAGAATGGGTATTGAACTACAAGCATGCAAAACAAACATCATTCGACCATGAGACCCAAAAAAAGAGCTAAGGAAGTCCAAAATATGCACAACATCAGTTTAAGGCAAGGCCAAAAAGTGTTAAAATCAAGGGTCAATAAAGCATGCAAAGAAAGCTAGTGAACCATGAGTTACACTACAACTATATGGAGCATATGAAGGCTCACCAAACTAGCTAAAAAAATAAGTTTTCCATGCCAAAATATGCCCAAATGACCACTGAAACTCAGTCAATGCATGCAAGAATGATGGGCTCCTTTGAGAGGCCAATAAAAGGGTTGTTCAACACATACAAGATAGACACGTAAAATGGCAAAATCACCTCTGGAAATCAGTTATGAAGGCCCTAAAACTCATCAAAAAGGCCATGAAATCAGTCAATAAAGCATGCGAATGAAAGCCCCTTTGAAAGGCCTTGAATGAGATTGCTCTACACATGCAAAATAGACACTTCATATGGCAAAATGGGCTCTGGACAGAGTCAAGGCAGACCTTAAAACTCACTCAATAAAGCATGCGAATGAAAGCCCCTTTGAAAGGCCTTGAATGGGATTGCTCTACACATGCAAAATAGACACTTCATATGGCAAAATGGGCTCTGGATAGAGTCAAGGCAGACCTTAAAACTCACCAAATAGGGCCTGAAATGTGACTTCTCAACATGCAAGTAGGAGCCCCTTTGGAAGGACAACAAAGCTAGTAAAGAGAACAAGGAGTGAGAGGGTCACCCCTCTCTGATTTTGGGGCTCAAAACAAAATAATATCCACTGAAAATCCTCTAGATTTTAGTGGTTAAAAGGGCCAACAAAGCTCAACACAAAGGCCCTAAGGTATGGCTCAAAACAAGGCAAAATAGAGCATGCAAGGGGATAGATGACCCACAACAACAAAATGACCTTAAACAAACATGTTAAACACTCAAATATAAAGCTTTTTTCAGTTGACAACAAAGCTCAAATATGCATGCAAGTATGGCTAAAAGAAGGATCAAAAATGGGGAATAAAGAGGGTAGTTTCTCACCCTTGAAGAACCTTGAAGGACAGAAGCAAAACAATCAATTTTTTGAGCCAAACAACCTTCAATCAGCCCAAAAATAGGTTCCAAGGGACCTCAAGCCAATGGTGATCAACTTTTATGAAGGATGCATAGGCAAACTAGGAGTATTTCTTTAAGTATAGCTCTTGTTATGCACATAAAGGCAAGAGAATAAGAGAGAGGCAGAGGTTTTAGGTCTGGAAGTTGTAGAGAGAGAGAGAGACTCTTTTTAGAGTAAGAAGCTCCCAAGCTTCTCCAAAAAGTTCTTTTTTGAAAAATGGGAGATATATCATCATATATAGCAAAAAGGAGAGTTGGCTCGAAAATATCTGATTATAGGACAGCTGGAGGTTGTGGAAGACAGCTGGAGGGAAAATATCTGTCAATTCTGAGCTTTCTGGGCATAAGTGGTCGGCCGACCACCTTTTCCGGTCGGCCTGCTACTTTTTCTGGTTTTTCAGGACAAAAAATTAGTCTATTGGAAAGAAAGGTGGTCGACCAGTGATTGGGAAGTCCAAAACTGGTCGGCCTTGCATCAAAATTCCTTCTGTGCAAAAAGTTATTCCTGTTTTGGTGAAGCCGCGCAGATTCGGTCCAACCGGAGTGATGCCCCACTTCAATCAACCATATCTCCCCCGTCCGGAATTGGCTTTAGGAGATTCTTGAGTGCAAAATGAAGCCCCGGAAGTAATCTTTCCAACAGTGGTGGCCTCATAGCTGGATTCCAAGTATGCAAATGAATAGGCCCGATTCGGCGAGAGCTGCTCGACTCTCTCTTAACAGTTCATGCCCATTTTCTCCCCCAACTGGGTTTCTTCCCTCTTCTCTTCTTTTCTTCAACTCCAAACCCCTAAGTAGGTGTTTTGAAAGATTTTTCAAAGATTTCATCTCTCCTTCATTCATTTCCACTTTGTCCTTGCCCGGTTTACCGAAAAGCGCGACATTTAACAAAATGTGAGCCTCGGAACATTGTAGGAACTTTATTTCAAAATATTTTGAAAGAGGGGGTTTTAAGATTTAAAATCTTTTGATCAAGATTGTTTTGGTCCAAAAAAAGGGGTATGAAGTTGAGATTTGACTCTCTCCTTGCCGAAGAAACTGAACCTTTCCCCTGCACACCTTTCTCCACCAAGTAAACCATCAGTAGTGCCCAAGTCTTAAGGGCGGTCAAAAATGGGGTATCTACAAATACTTTTCTAAATTTGGGGGCCCTATTTTAGGCCATTTTTTTAGGGCTAAGGCACAGGCCTCAATGGCCTTAGCCCACGGCCAGTTCAGAATATGTGTGTGTATATATTTTTGAAAGCATACAAATGATGTTGCGGTGCATATAATGACTTATAAAACAATCAAAATAGATTCACATGTTCTAGGAAAAGTTAGGGAAAGGTTGGCCCTCAATGCACTTTGGTTCTCAGCCTGGTCCACTAGGAGTTGAAAGCCACCTAGAAGTTCAAACCTAATATTTTGCAATTACATCTTTTAAAATCTATTCACAAACTTATACAGAATTGAGAACCTTAGCCTTAAGTAACTGTAGCAAATGGAAAGGAAATCACACTCTAATTAGTATTATTTTTCACAGAAGAAGCATGGATTGGACTTTTAGTTTCATTAGTCTTCCTAATCCATTAATATCAAATAAGCATAGAAAAATTGTAGTTCTTTCTTCTTTTCAATGTTGTAAACCACCAAATCAAAGACTTCTTTCCAAAGATGGAAAAAAAAATAATAAAATAAATACCTTACTCCTTGTTTGCCAAAGGTGTGATGATTTTGTGGATAAGTGTATTTCCCCTCTTAGCCAATAGTGAAAAATTATAAAAAATTGAAAATATGTACGAAAGAAAAAGGAATTTCAAACATAATTGCAGGTTAAATTACTTTATTAATTCACACAATCTTATTAAATGAAAGACTCTTGGAGCCTGGTCAACAGTCTTCCAAAAGAAAAAGAAAAAGAAAAGAAAAGAAAATTAACACTAAAGCTAATTTCAATTCATTCTCTGTATACATTATTATATTTAAAATGTTGTGAAGACTTCAAAAAATCATCTTAATAGATGTAAGATACAACATAATATAAGTTCTAATGCTCCAAGCATGACAAAATTTTCCACCTCCTGGCCTATGAGATGGAAAATTTAAATTGACCACGCCATCATGATTCACAAACTCAAGCAGCCACTTTCACATGTCAACAATTGCCAACAGGTCAAAAACAGCAAAGGTTTATTTATTTATTTATTTTCAAATGGTTCACTCTGTTACATGGACTCTTCTACTTACCCCATGTACCCATATCCATAGGATATGACATGGGCAAAGGAATGCGTATCCTTACACAATTTAGACACTTAGATCCTCTAATCTTATACGATAGTTTGAAGAAAAGACACTCACTTTTGCTAGTAAAGAAACCTTTCTAGTTTGTTACACCAATGGGTGATATAAATTTCATGTTTTCCCTAAATCTCATTTAAATTGAAGTAAATTTCTAAACAATTCACATTTTATGTAAGAATATTATACAATATGCGATATATATACATGTTTAAGGCAACTATACCCAACTTTTGGATACATATCTCAATATCCTAATATTTTGGTTTAGGAAGATATGATGCTTGGATACACTCGCACTTGGTACTCGTATCCTAATCCATGTAACACAACAAAGCAGACTATTATACAATATTAAGAGCACAAACAAACATTCTTAATAATCTATGCACACAGATTTAACACAAATAACCCAATAAAACATAAACTGAAGATACATACTCATAGACATTAAAATTAAGATAACTCTACTCTTGCAAGGGGCATTATGTCACATAATATTAAAATAGTATGGAATAAGGCTTTCAGCTTTAGTAAATTCATCTATCAAGGAATATTATGTGCAATGAGCCATAGACAGTTGTGGTGCCAAACCTGGAGGTCTGTTAATTTAACTTCTTCAGCAACAGAAACCAGAAGCTGCTTCTCTGACAGTAGCAGTCTCAATTGCAAGGCCACTTCCTTAACTGCAAAGCCATGAAACAGCATAATGACAATGGTAAATAGAGAATTATATGAAAATTGTTATACATAAGTCAGATATTATAATCTAATACATAGGAACAAGCTACCCAGAAGAGCACTTAAAAAATAATTTTATTTCATGAGAAGCTAAAGAGAAGTGGTCTCATATAAGGAGCTCCCTCAAATGATTCAAAACATTCACCATTTACCTACTACACCAAATCAACAATGTTATAAACATGCATATGCATAAAAAATTTAATGTTAATTGCACCACATGCAAATTAGTACTTTTTTTTCACCATCAGTAGAAGATGACAATAATCTCTATAGGAAAGACAAAACAATGTAGCAATGTCAGGAGAAAAGCATGCATATAGATTCCACTAATAGGTGATTTATTCCTTTTTGCTTACTATGTACACTAACTGCTGATGATTTCACAAAAAAGCCATGCAAGGAAATAAATGGCTTTTTATTGGGTTTTCAAGAATATCTTAGTGATTTAATGTTCCCTAGAGTCATTTTTATTTGGAAACATCATTGGTCCTGTACATACATGTATATTGCTCAGATCAGTATCAGTGGGAAACAAAGCTGCATCAACTTCTAAAGTGCAAAGAATTTTTCAGATCACTCTCTTTGTATTACTCTTATACATGCATATAAATAGAATAAATCAACATTAATGGGAAAGGAAGGGGCATCAACATGTGAAGAGCAAAGAATTTTCTAGATTCATCAGGGGACCATGGCCCCACCTACCACCCTGGCCATATTGCATATGAGAAGATCTAAAACTTTCCAAAACTTCATTTTGTTCTTATCCAAGATTGTACATGAACTTAAGAAGTTACAAAGCATTATGAGAAATCTCCTTATGTCATCCAAGTTTGTACATGAACTTACAAAGAACTCCAAGGAATCTCATTATGTTCTCATCCAAGTTTCTAATGAACTTAGGAAAACAATATGTGATAAAGGTGGTTTTTTCATGAACTAATTGGGCCAACATTTGTGTTCTCCTCCTGTGTCGCAGACATCCACAATATGCTATTTGAGTAAGTGGGAGACGTACTATTGTACCTGTTGGAAAATTGGTTGGGTTTAGAACCCGGATCCAACTAGATCGCCCATTGTGACATGACCTAGTTAGGAGAGATCGAATAATAACAGATTTTATCTATTATTTGAAATTGAATAAAGGATAATTATTAATATGAGATAAACATTATCTGGAATAATATACGTATCCTCATAGGGGTCTTTCAGTTTTCCTGTATTATGTACAAGGAAAAAAATACAGGACTCTCACTCTTGTTCTCTCTCCATAGAAGTACAATATAGCCTTTGTACTGTGAGTTGTGTGGGTAGAGCTCTAGTAGTGCTACTTCGTCACTTGTGGAGTGAAGAAGAAGATTCTAAGAGTTCATGATTCATCAATCAATCTAGATTCATCGTGTCATTTGTTTACCTGAAAGGTATGCCTGAATCCATATTCTTCTGCTACGTATATGTATATATTTATTCCTACATCACCAATCAAGTCAAAGGTATCTAAGATATTCATACCTAATAATTTTCCACAAAGTGATGATGACACGAGCTAATACATCTGCACAACAAGGACATAAAGTTCATTATTTTATAGTTTGACAAATTAAAATTAAAATGAATTAAACTGGATAAAGTATGTTTACTGCATCTTGACCATTTCTGCCAATACCAATAAACTAAGGGACTAACCTATAAAGCCCTCCTTCACCGATTACCCAAACATAAGGATAGAGCATTTACATTCTGTTTGGATGGAGAGGTTTGGTGAGAAAAGAAAGGAAATGGTGAGAATGAGGTTTCTCATCACTTATTTGGATGATTAATGAGGTGAGTAATGGTGAGAAAGGAAGAGAAATGGTGAGAACGACAAATCACTCATAATTTAAGTTTTGCTTCTCACCAAAAGTGGTGAGATTTGGTGAGAAACCAAAATTACTCTTTACAAAAAAAAAAAATTATAATCCTAAATTATCCCACTAAATACAATGCAAATAAAATAAAAAGACATGTATCCTATTTTAATCAATGTTCATCCAAATAAGAAAGTGAGAAACCACAGTCATTTCTTTTCTTCTCTCACCCAAATGAGAAACTACAATCATTTCCTTTCTTTTCTCACCCCATGATCCAAACAAAGTGTTAGTTTTGAACTAATAATACTTCGAGTTTACGTATCTATTATAGAAATGTCAACTTAAGGATATGAAGATTTTTCACTTTTGATTGTTATGATTCGTGGGACACATTTACCCTTAGTGAAGTTGTCAAATCAAATGAAGAATCATTAAGATTTAGTACAAACTATAAAAATATATATATTAAATAATTCTATATATGAAATAAATATATGAAATATATATATTTTTGGTATATATTATAAAATACTTCTTACATAAGAACATGATTATATCGTCTAATTGAGAAGACATTGCCTTCTTAGCAAAAGACATGGCCCAAATTCCAAAAACTATAGAATTATTAAAAAATTATAATATAATCTCACTTAGCATTCAAAAAATGGACTTAGGAACCATATATAGAGTATAATAAGAAGAATGAATTCAAAGAAATCCTTTGTTTTTGTTAGGTTTTTATTCTTGGCAATCCCGTTTGAAAAAACTCCTTTCAGTTGTATTTATTTTCGCATTTTTTATTTCAGTGAGGCTATGAGTTTTTAGATGCGAATTCAACCCAAATTGTGCCTTGCAGAGAAGTTTGTAATGTTAATACTTTCAAGATTGCCACTTCGCTGATTATGTACGATCGAGCGAAGGGTGCGTGGCTCGAGCGAAGCCACTTATGGAAGACACGCGTTTTTGGTTCCTCACTCGAGCGAGAGAGTCTTCGCTCGAGCGAGCTTCACAGTCCCAGATTTCTACAAGTATTTGTTTTAGTCCAAAACTAGGATTACTGCTCCAGATCTTCTTTTTGGATATTAAGGTTTATATCTGGGGATATTTTGCTAGTTTTCTTTGATGTTTTGATTGAGTATTCAACTCATGGTTTAAAGAGTATACATCAAATGATTATTTGTTTGTTCTAAAAAAAAGAGAGAGTTGTTCTTCGGTGGATTCTGAAGAATTCGAGCCTGAAGCTTTGGTGGATTCTGGAGTGGCTCATCGTCAAGACAATTCCGAGGTGAAGACAGGGTTCGAAGAGGCACATAGGG